CATTGGGCTTGGACTGTTACCAGGACTCCTGCAATTTGATGCTTATCTGACAATATAAAATATTTTAAATATATGTATACTTTCTTATAATCTAAAGTTTACACAGACACATGTACAGTCAGGTCCATAAATATTGGGACATCGACACAATTCTAACATTTTTGGCTCTATACACCACCACAATGGATTTGAAATGAAACGAACAAGATGTGCTTTAAGTGCAGACTGTCAGCTTTAATTTGAGGGTATTTACATCCAAATCAGGTGAACGGTGTAGGAATTACAACAGCTTGCATATGTGCCTCCCACTTGTTAAGGGACCAAAAGTAATGGGACAATTGGCTTCTCAGCTGTTCCATGGCCAGGTGTGTGTTATTCCCTCATTATCCCAATTACAGTGAGAAGATAAAAGGTCCAGAGTTCATTTCAAGTGTGCTATTTGCATTTGGAATCTGTTGCTGTCAACGCTCAAGATGAGTTCCAAAGAGCTGTCACTATCAGTGAAGCAAGCCATCATTAGGCTGAAAAAACAAAACAAACCCATCAGAGAGATAGCAAAAACATTAGGCGTGGCCAAAACAACTGTTTGGAACATTCTTAAAAAGAAGGGACGCACCGGTGAGCTCAGCAACACCAAAAGACCCGGAAGACCACAGAAAACAACTGTGGTGGATGACTGAAGAATTCTTTCCCTGTTAAAGAAAACACCCTTCACAACAGTTGGCCAGATCAAGAACACTCTTTGGGAGGTAGGTGTATGTGTGTCAAAGTCAACAATCAAGAGAAGACTTCACAAGAGTGAATACAGAGGTTTCACCACAAGATGTAAACCATTGGTGAGCCTCAAAAACAGAAAGGCAAGATTAGAGTTTGCCAAACGACATCTAAAAAGCCTTCACAGTTCTGGAACAACATCCTATGGACAGATGAGACCAAGATCAACTTGTACCAGAGTGATGGGAAGAGAAGAGTATGGAGAAGGAAAGGAACTGCTCATGATCCTAAGCATACCACCTCATCAGTGAAGCATGGTGGTAGTAGTGTCATGGCGTGGGCATGTATGGCTGCCAATGGAACTGGTTGTCTTGTATTTATTGATGATGTGACTGCTGACAAAAGCAGCAGGATGAATTCTGAAGTGTTTCGGGCAATATCTGCTCATATTCAGCCAAATGTTTCAGAACTCATTGGACGCCGCTTCACAGTGCAGATGGACAATGACCCAAAGCATACTGCAAAAGCAACCAAAGAGTTTTTTAAGGGAAAGAAGTGGAATGTTATGCAATGGCCAAGTCAATCACCTGACCTGAATTCGATTGAGCATGCATTTCACTTGCTGAAGACAAAACTGAAGGCAAAATGCCCCAAGAACAAGCAGGAACTGAAGACAGTTGCAGTAGAGGCCTGGCAGAGCATCACCAGGGATGAAACCCAGCGTCTGGTGATGTCTATGCGCTCCAGACGTCCGGCTGTAATTGACTGCAAAGGATTTGCAACCAAGTATTAAAAAGTGAAAGTTTGATTTATGATTATTATTCTGTCCCATTACTTTTGGTCCCTTAACAAGTGGGAGGCATATAACTGTTTTAATTCCTACACCTTTCACCTGATTTGGATGTAAATACCCTCAAATTAAAGCTGACAGTCTGCAGTTAAAGCTCATCTTGTTTGTTTCATTTCAAATCCATTGTGGTGGTGTATAGAGCCAAAAATGTTAGAATTGTGTCGATGTCCCAATATTTATGGACCTGACTGTACGTACATACATACAAATACACATGTGCACGCACACAGACACATGTACACATACACAGGCACATGTACACACACACATACATATACACACATACATGTACAGATACACACATGTACATACACACAGACACATGTACATGCATACACAGACTCACACAAACACACACACACCTATAAAAAATTGCAGTACTTTGTTGTTCACTCACAGAGCCGGGTACTGCACTCTAGGGGGAGGCAGAGAGCACAGTACACACTCCTTCCTTTGCTTTCACTGCACTCAGCTATTGAGCAGTCTGACAGCTCCCAGTGTGAGTGACAGATCTGGCCCTGAGTTCTGAGCCTGCTCAGCAAGACGGCCCTGGGGACACACTCGCCCCACCATAATTTCCACTCGCCATTGGCGAGCAGGCGAGTGGAAATTTCAAGGCCTGATCTAAACCATTTTTATATTTTACTTTAAACAATACATGTGTGAGAAATAAATACTAAAAATATGTTACTGTGTTAGTTGTTCTGTATTGTAATGTGCTGGAATATTGTCATCTTACTTTTTGTGTGCGTGTTCTAAATTTTGTAATTTTAATTAAAATCTATGAGCATATTACAAATCACCCCAAATTAAATGTAAAGCAATATCCCATTTTTGGAAGACAAATTCATTTTGACATAGCACCTTGTTGGCATTCCTCTCACAGTGTTCTTTTATCAATGAATGGATTCTTTCATGTTTTCTCTCCTTTTAAATAATGAAACACACAGTGGCAGACAGACTCCCTCCTGATTCATAAACAAGATAGTATTTTTACCATCTCAAAATGACTATTGATGATATTCATGGCCTCATTAGACCACAGAATCAAAAGCTGACTTAGAGTGTCATAGAGAATAGCTTAACTCCAGTTAATTTCATGAAATTCTTGATGTTGCATGTAACTGGTTTATAAATAAATAAAGTGGATACGAAATATCTTCAAAAGTCTTAGCTAACTACCAGGCCCAGCAAGTCAAACTGCCTTTAACATCTTCCTTCTCTGCTCAGATCAGAATTGCCTTGGCATTGTATGTTCTGTAGCCGATCCCTTTGTGCATCTACTAAACTCTTCTGCATAATCTTCCTGACAAATAGTTCTCTTATTAATATTAAAGACATGCTCTCATATGCTGTAGACTCTAGGCAGGGCGTTAGAGTTCCATTTAGATGAGAGAATGTTCTTAACTTTTAAATGCTTTGTCAGGACTGATGACATCTCAAGTTCACTTACATAAGTAGTTGCAGAGCGGAATCCTGATAACAGACCATGTTGTATGCATTAAGATCTCTGTTTTCAATTTCTTCTGAACAAAAGTAATTTATTTTTACTTAAAGAAGAACCCAGGAAGCATTGTTAATATCTAAACTGCCCTTGAACAAAGTTACAGGGAAACAGCGACTGTGTGAAAGTACTTATTGGTAATGGAGTCTACATGTCTCTAAATAAAATATATATAAAAATCCAGTTTTTATTTGTGGCTTCTCCTCCTTTTGTTAACGTCATTGTTGACAGCTCATACAAATAAATATTAAAACCCTGCATCACTGTCCTCATGGCCTACCTGAATGGGATACACTTCTCCCCTGCAGAAAGGAAGAATACGATAATCTGTGTAAAATAAATGTTCTGCTTTCTCTGAGGACTGGCCAGTCATATAGTGGTGAGCAATTATTATGTGGTGAGTTATATATAACAAATTATTGTGGTTGTGCCAAGGGAACTAATTTCATTTCATGATATAGCCTGTTAAACGTTTTTAGCAGTATTAAACCCAAAAACAAAAAATATATTTTTTGCAGTTTACCAATCCTTTTCTATAGACGCAGCATGCAGTTTATTTTCTAACAGAATTGTAATAGCAATATAAACAATAGTTATTTTTGACAGTCCTATATAAGTTTGCTTGAAAAATCTTTTTTCATGTTGTGAGTTCTGCCAGTTTGCTGGTCATCTCTTTCCACAACTTTATGGATTCCTTGCTTGCTTTGCAGCTTCTCCTCTGCTGTTTGCGTTCTATTTCTAAGAACTACATATCCCATGGTACCTTGCTGCCCGCAGATTGTGATTCCTGTACTGTCTCCATCTCCGGAAATCCTTCCCTCAACACCTCTGTAGTTCAGATAGCAGGTTTTGTGATATGTGTGACACAGCTGTGTCTATTCTCTACTTTCTGTTAAAAAAAATCCACTAAACTCAACTTAGTCACAAAATTTAGGCCAAAATGTATTTTGCTTCATGTCTTTGGTAAAAAAAAATCCTACTACATGTATATTAATTGGTTTGTGTGAAAGTTATAGCATCTACCAGGGATAGTGTATATATTGGAATTTACGCAGCTTTTACTTTCTGACTGCCTAGCACATTTCTTGAGGTGCTAAAATGCCTGGGCAGTACAACCCCCCCCCAAATGACCCCTTTTTGGAGAGTAGACACCCCAAGGAATTTGCTGAGAGGAATTTTGAGTACAAGGAAGATTTTATTTTTTGACAAAAAGTTTTGGAAAATGACAAAACTATTTATTTTACACAAAGTTGTCACTGTTTACATACCGACACTGGACCAATGCTATGCGCATGAGCAGGGGGGGGGGGGGGGGGGGTGGGGTTGATTTTTTTTTTTATTTTTACACTGTCCATTTTTTTTATCACTTTTATTGTTATCTCAGGGAATGTAAATATCACCTGTGATAGCAATAGGCAGTGACAGTTACTCTTTTCTGAGAATTCTGGGATCTATTAAACTCTAGATCTCTCCTCTGCCTTTAGATTGTTGTGATCAGATGCTTTCCCAATTTTAAAATGGCACTGTTTATATACAGCAAAATCTAAATTATGAAATGCTCATAGCTTCCGATCCCTGATCAGCTCTATGGTCAGGCCAGCATCCAGCATGACCACCGGCTACATTCTTGGGTTCCCTGGTGGGACAGGAGAGCCCAAGAAAGCAGTAGAAGGCTGCGGGAGTGGGCATCCCTTTCTGCCACTTGTAAAAGCAATCCAGTGGCTAGAGATCGAATAGAGATCACATGATCACGGTGTCCTGATTGCCAGAATCCGCATTCCACTGTGTCCTGTGTCCAGTTGCTGGGGGGGTAGCGCTATGCCCCCCCCCGTGTTAATACAGGCAGAGTGATGTACTCTGCATTCTGCTACATGTCTTTACAAATGGCAGTGTAGATGCTGGAATTTTTTTTTTTACTAGTAATGACAGTGATCAGCGACTTATAGCGGGACTGCGGCGGGCATTCTGACACTGGGGGGAACTGACTTGGTGTCACTGACATCCCCAGTGACACCAATACATTGATCAGTGCTTAAAAAAAAGCACTGACGCTGTACTAATGACACTGGGCAGGAAGTGGTTAACATCAGGGGCGATCAAAGAATTAATTATGTGCAGGGAGTGTTTTACATAGGGGGCGATGTGTGTGGGCTTTACTGTAATCACACTACTCTGGATGGCTGTTCTGTGCACAGCCATCCAGAGCAATGTGCCCGAGCTGACAGGGAGGAGGACTGCTAGTAGTAGTTCTCCTCACCTTCGGAGATGCACTGTAATCAACGGGCGCTGACGGGACCCGGTGATTGACAGCACGGGTAGGACGCGCGTGCCCCCTACCCAGAAACACAAAATCACATATACATATTAAATTAAATAACTTACTGTCTCCACCCTTGCCCTCCACATCAAAATAGTCCATAGGCTCGACTTTACCTTCATTACTAGTGACCATACAGGAAACACTTACACCTTTATGGCCCATACAAAAGTTGCAAAGACCTTTGTTAGCAGACCCCTCACCTTTTTTTTTTCTCTATTCTCAGCATTCTTAATGAGGACAGTTGACAGGGCCTCATCAAACCAGCCTCAAATATATTTTGGCTGAGCAGTCTGAAACTGTGAATTTTTTTCTTGTGGAAGTGCATGATTAAGGATAGATTATTTGGCAGGAATTAATAGTCAGCTTTAGAAAATATGTTACATTTTACTTAATTAGAAATGATATTTAATTGTATTACATACATGTTCTGTTTTGCTAAAACTAATATCCTTGACATTTATTACACATTTATTTGCTGGTTTTTTTTTTGCAGTTTTCTATACCTACATTAAAATTCTATTTGTAAAAAAGAATACATGGTTACAGTTGACCTCCATTTAACGAGGTTACTTACTGCTGTTGTAATGATAGTTTTAGTTGTCTGACACTGGTTGAACCCATTCATTTTCAGTAAAATACTTTAAATATTTATAGAGCCGTGCATTGTTGTCATTTCCCTAAAGTAGAACTAAAGGCAATTTGTTTTAACTTCTGTCCTATTGGGGAGCCTTCACCTACTATTCAGCAGTCAAAACAGGAAGTAAGAGGAAAACCTTCCAAAGTGAGGGTATGTGGTTGTCACCATATATTGTCCCCATTGGAAGATTTTTTTTCTCTATTTCTGACCTGGTGACCACTCAAAATGTAGCATTTTCTTTCACTTTTGGTGATGATGGAAAACAGGACAAACACAGAGGAAAAATAATACAGCAATAAAAATCCAACAGGTGTTCCAATCTCTAACTATGCTATCCATTACAAAAAATAAAGTTTTTGCCTTTAGTTATACTTTAACATCACATTGTACATTTCCTTAATATTTAATATTTTTTCAGAATATTTACCTCTTGGAAAAATGTTCAGCAATTGCAAGCAATAAAGAAACATATTAGCTATGTATAACATTTAATGTCGGTTATGTTCAAGGCCTTTTTGTCTTCTCTCTTCCAATATTGTTTGATACAATTAGATATTACATTACTGAATGGTTATCAAAGAGAGCATCATAAAATTGCAGTAATACCTCCATGATGGCCATCCTATGCCATCTTCGTCTTGGCAGTTTCTGCTGGCAGATTTCACCAAGTGTTGTCATAGGGCAGTAGGATGAACACACAGAGTAGCATTGCTGAAGTCTATTGTATAAAAATAAATAAAATCCATACACATAGTCCAGGAATAGACCAGAGATAAAACATTGGAGAAAGTTTCCAGACAAGCTATGGTCATTGCCAGTAGATGTATATGAGACCAGAACATAGAATGAAAAAGCAGACAGTAATCAATAAACTGACTTGGAACCTGAGCACAAGTCAAGGAAAAGGTATGCTGCCTCAGCATGTACTTGGGCTTATAGGCGTTGCCTTCCTGTTATAGGAAGCTTTTTTTCTCCAAAATCCATAAATAGACAGGCTTTATACCATTCCTACATTCGAACACGGTCTCTGTGGTTCTAAGGAACCAAAGTACAAGGGTAATGCCCTGATAAAAAAACAGGATTGAATATGCTGAAGCAGTATTCACCTGAGCATAACAGAGAAGTAAAAAAAACATAAAAATGCAAAAAGACAGAGGAGTGCAAGGTGAAGTGCGGGGCACAGAACACAGGTGCTCCAACAGCAGCACTATCGATTTATGACCAAATATCCATCACATTCAGCACTTACCGAAAAAGTCAGACCCACATTTCTGAAGGTCTGTAAACAGTTGTTTTACAGCCTCCTGATAATCAGTCACCGGGCAGTTGTGAATACCTATGTGTACAGTGGCACGAGCAACTGCATGTAAGCTTATAGTTCTAAACTAGAGTTTTCATGAAGTGGAGATTCTGGTGATACTTCATATGTCCTGGCAGGCACAGGGGGCACCCATGTACCTGAAGTCAGCCTGTGAGGCCGGGGCAAAGTTAGCAGAACAAGAACAGAGGAGAAGAATTGAAAACAAAGAGAATGTAAATTTATTTTTTAAAATTGGCTTAAATATCACTTTAAATGTAAATTTTAGGTGCAGTTGGCCTTTAACCACTTGAATGCTTAAAGCTAAACTAAACCCACCTTTCCTTTACAGCCAAAAAAGGTGCCATCTTAGTCTATGTTTTTATCTGCAGTTGCCATGGTGCTGCACATGTGGTCAGCTATGGCACCAGCAATTTGGGGACTTGAAAGTTCATCTGAGAACTGGGAACTTTGACAGTTATCACCAGAGGTATGCCTTGAATGTAATTGTTTGGGAACCCATTAAATTGGTGGGTTTAGTTCTAAGCATACAGTTTACACCCTAAAATAAGGACATACACTGATGCAGTGCACAGGGTTTATGATGTACACAATGTTCCAATCTCCCTGCTGTCAATGCTTGATGGCAAACCCTGACTGTCAAAATTTTCAGTGTCTGAGTGTCTACAGCTAAATCCAAGCATTTGAACAGTGCTTAGATAACTGCCTAGAGGTATCATTCAGAAATAAGAAAATTATTTTATGTAATCTGGGTAGCTGTGCATGGCAACCAATCAGCTTCTATCTTTCATTTTTAAAACTAAAGTTTGAACTTTTTTACCTTAATGCCTCCCCCCTCCTTAAACACTTAACTGACTGAGTAATCAATCTAGTGTTGTGCCCAGCTGCAGCAGCTCTCTCATCTCATCCTTGTCTCATAGGATATACAGACAGCAGTGGGAGACATAGGCTCCTGCTGTTGTGAGGTGGGATGTGTGGCCAAGCCAGGCTGTGTGTGTCTATGGATGCACACAGCCCAGCTCAGGAGCACACCTGCATGGCTGCCTCCATCAGCAAAGGGCTTGCTCCCAGAGGATAGGCGGAGCAGACAGCTTTAGAATCACTTTAACTGAACAAACTGAAGATGAGCATTAATTGGTTGCCATGCATATCTCAAGATTCTGTATGGTCCAGTTCTGATAAATTTCTCCTGGAACAGGCCTTGCTTATGTTTTGTTATATTGGTGATTCTTACCTGTCAATCTGTATATATATATATTAGATGATTTCCTCAGATTTAAGCACTAAGGAGCATGATAGCACTGTAGAGGTAAAAAGTAATGATAATGATAAGAATACTCAAGTATCAATATCCAGATTACTCCATTTCGTGTAGTCTCATGTTTTTCCAACAAAGGACATTGTGTTCCTATTTCTAGGTCAGTGTAGTGACATTGGCAGTACCTTATGAACTGGCTTAAGGGTGTTGCTTGTGTGATGTGCAGACCTGTATAATACCATTTACACAGAGCTTCATTTCCATACTATTTTAAGCTAAAGTTTTGCAGGAGGTGCCGCACATCATGTACAGCTGAATTAATCAGACGTGCTGCTTTCCCAAATCTCTTAAGCCCAGAGGAGTCAGCATTTCCTGAACAAACCATACACCTAAAATTAACATATACATTAAACACAAAGTTATACATTTAACATTTGTGCACTGTATGTTGTAAGAATATCTTGCTGTAAATGTTTTATTTTAGTGTTTTCCATTCTAAAATAGAAGGTTATTATCTCTTCCTTATAAATAAAAAAAAGGGTAAAAATTACAATAATATATAGTCATTCTAGTCTTATTAGTCAGTCTAGTCATATTATGTGCCCAACATGGAAAAGTTGAAAATGCATGTACTCACTATTTGAGTATTGGGGATGCTTATGATAGCCATTGTCACCTTAGACTTATTACTTACTCATTAGACAAGAATCGGATAGAGCCACACTGTAACACTCCAAAAACAGGAACTCATTTCTCTAAATTACTATTTTATCTATCTTTTGACAATTAAGAGACCTTGCAGACCACGACTACAATTTTTTCCCAAGCCTATCAGACCTTCTCATGCATTGATTACCTGTTACTTCCAACCTACTTCTAAGTGAACATAACAGATTCCAAAATCAAGACCACCCTATGGTCAGACCTTTCCATAGTTTTGCTGGCAATGGGCTTGTATTGACACAAGCTTTCTCAATTCCAGTGGAGACCAAAACCAATTACTGTTAAGCCATAACACAGTACTCAAACTGTTATAGTCGTCACCCCTGACAACTGACCTAAGCTCTTTTGCAGTTATGCAAAGACAAGTGTACGTATATATTTTGTCTTCAAAATTGTGGCTGCAATAGATAATGAGCACTGTAGAGTGATTACTTTATCAGAGCTAGCCCATATCCTTACTATGGATCTACAAAATAATTTAGCATGTGAAATTAGATATAGCCCATCAAAAGACCCTCTTTATACAAAAATTGTATATCAGAGATCAGGCCTTTAATTTCTTACAGTGCAAATCATACTGCTTTCTGTGCTAAAGATCTCACTGTAACAAACCATAGTGGATAAGAATAGAATATAAGAAAACAAAAAAAATCCCAAACAATATCATATGTTTCATGCCCCACACTTTACTACTCATTATCACTATGGGATAACCATATTGAACAACTGATTGGCTCCAATATATATTCTACAATTTACCATAGGTTTCCATCTGCTTCTCCTTTTTCAAAGGTGTAACAACAAAGGTTTTACTAGAAAAAGAGATATTATTTCCCATGAACCAGTAACCAGAGGTACAGTATAGAGTCATGGCCAGAAATATTGGCACCCCTGCATTTCTGTCAGATAATGCAGTGTTTTTCAACCTTTTTTGTGCAAAGGCACACTTTTTTCATGAAAAAAATCACGAGGCACACCACCATTAGAAAATGTTAAAAAAATTTACCTCTGTGCCTATATTG